GAGCTCAAGGTCAGCCTGAACTGCATAGCGAGACCCTGTCTCAAAAAAAAAAAAAAAAAAAAATAAGGTAAAAAGAGTAAGAGAAACAAAATGGACCTAATTTTGAGAATAAAATGTTCTCTGACAAGAATTTAGTGCTGGGATGAACCTCACCACCTTCTAAATGAAAGTGTATTGGGTGATGTAATTCCTTTTCACCTCGGTGATGCCGGGATACAACATGGCACTGGGGCACGTGCAGTGCCGGGGGCTCACTTCCCACCCACCCGCACTTTGCTTATAAAGAGGAGCAGCCTTAATTTTAAAACAGTCACTTCTGCTAGTTAAAAACCTTGCCGGGTAGGATGGTGCACACCTGTAATCCCAGCACTCAGGAGACTGAGGCAGGAAAATCACTGTGAGTTTGAGGCCAGCCTGGGCTACATAGCACAACCCTGTCTCAAAAAAAATAAATAAATAAAATAAAACATAAGTCTTTCCAATGTTTTTCTCGTCACATACGTATTAGTTATATTCTATTCAACTGGGGCTTTTAGTTTTTAGTTTGACTTGAGTGCTCAGCGGTGTTGAGTCTTTAAAGGTAAACATTGTAAAAGAAACTTGGAGCTTTGTTTTTTAATGACATGCCTTTCTTTGAAGGGTCCAGATTACAGACTCTACAAGAGTGAGCCCGAGCTAACAACCGTGGCAGAAGTTGATGAGTCAAATGGGGAAGAAAAATCTGAACCTGTGTCAGAGATGGAAAGTCCAGCTGTTAAAGGTCAGCACTTGGCATATGCTGTGTCTCCTCTCACGTTTTGTTTTGTGACGTGTTAGCAGTGTTCCGTTTACATGCTGTCATGGTACATGTGCAAGTCTACAATCTGTCTGAAGCCTGTGGACTCACAAGGGTCTGAATTAAGAAATCCTCAGCCGGTAGGAAGAGAACATCATCCATAAACTATGCACATCACCCCAGTGAGACACGGGGCAGCGCTGCCCTTTTTTCTGAAACAGGGAATTGCTATGTAGTCCAGGCTGGCCTCAAACTCACAGTGATCGTTCTGCCTCAGCCTCCCCAGTGCTGGAATCTAGGCGCGCGCCATCACACTCCATGGTGCTGCTTTTAAGCCCATCCATACCTCCGGAACATTTATCCCAAGTGGGATGAAGACAGCAGACCAGGTCAGGTTTTACTGAGAAACATTTGATGACAAGTTTTTTGAAAGCTTTCCATTGTCTAAGGTTTTTTCCTCTATTTCAGTTTCTTTTGTTTGTTTTTTGAGAAAGGCTCTTGCTGTGTATATAGCTCAGGCTGGCTTTGAATGCACTAATATAGCCCAGGCTGGCCGCAGATTTGCAGTGATCGTCCTGCCTCCTTCTCCTGAGTGCTGGGATTCCAGGTGTGCACCACCATGCCCGCCCATCACTAATCATTCTTCAAGAAGTCAATATCGAAAAAAGGGTAACAAGGAAGGTTCTTCTAGATTCAAGAGATGTAAAAAAAAAAAACAGGGCAGGGAGGCAGCTCAATCTCAGTGGTAGAGAGCTCTTGCCTAGCAGGTATAAGGCCATGGGTTCGATCCCTGTAAGTACAAAAACATAAATATAATGCAGTACTTTGTGTGTGTGTATGTGTCTTTCTTTGAGACAGGGTCTCACTGTGCAGTTCAGGCTTGCCCTAAACTCACTTTGTAACCCAGGCTGGCCTTGATCTCGAAGTGATACTCCTGCCTCAGCCTCCCGAGTGCTGGGAATACAGGCGTGCGCCACCATGCCTAGCCGGTATTTAAAATTTTAATTGGAGTACTGTTTAAAAGAAAAGCTGTAAGGTTAGGTGTGGTGGTACCTATGATCCCAGTTCTCCAGAGGCTGAGGCACAAGGATTGCTGTGAGTTCAAGGCCAGTCTGGGCTACAGAGTGAGTTCAGTGCCAACTGAACTGCATAGCAAGACCTTTTCCCAAAAAGACCAAAAACAAGAAGAAAAGAAGAACTGTAAAGACATTGTTATAAGTATGGAAATTTAAACATGTTCTAGATATCAACTAATAGTATGATCTGCAGTGCAGTTTAAAAATAAAGTATTTTAGAATTAAAGAAGTTATATAAGCTGGGCATGGTGGCATACACCTCCCAACACTCAGGAGTCTGAGGCCGGAGGATCACCATGAATTCAAGGTCAGCCTGTGCTACGTAGTGAGTTTGAGGCCACCCTGACTGAGTCTACAGCCTGAACTCCTTAAAAAAAGTTACAAAGTTATATTAAGTGAAATATAAGCTGGGCATAGTGGCGCACGCCTGTAATCCCAGCACTGGGAGGGTGAGGTAGGAGGATTATTGTGAGTTTGAAATCAGCCTGGGCTACAAAGTGAGCTCAAGGCCAGTCTGAACTACATAACGAGACCCTGTCTCAAAAAGACAAAAAAAAAAAAAAAAATAGATAAACTAAATGTATAACAATAGCACATATACCTGAAGGAGGTTGGTATTAACATAAGGTCTTTAAAGCCAGGCATGGTGGTGCACGCCTGTAATCCCAGCACTTGGGAGGCTGAGGCAGGAGGATCATTGTGAGTTCGAGACCAGCCTGGGCTACAAAGTGAGCTCAAGGCCAGCCTGAACTGCATAGCGAGACCCTGTCTCAAAAAGACCAAAAAAAAAACAAGGAAAGATTGTCAGGCTGGGGATGTAGTGCAGTGGTAGAACACTTGCCTGGTATATACGCAGCCGCGGCTTGGATCCCCAGCACCAAAAGAAAAAAGCCAGTATTTTGTGAGGCCAAGGCAGGAAGATCACAAGTTTGAGCCCAGCCTGGACAACCTACCAATGTAGCAAGACCCTGTCTCAAATTTTAAAAACAGTTTTGAAAGGGGTTGAGGAGACAGTTCAGTATAAAGGCCCTGAGTCCAGTCCCTGGTACTGAAGGAGAAAAAAAACTAAGGAAGATAGTCAGTATGTATTAACATTTAAAATGCAGCTGCCTATATGGCGTTTATTGATACATTGGAATTTAAAGCTACTAAAAATTGAATGTGATGTTGAGTGAAAACATCAAATTTCAGAAAGGTACATAATACAGTATATGATTCCATATATATTAAGGTTTAAAATACACCAGACAAGTTGGAATATTTTCTAGAAGTTCAGAGGTCATAGCTAACACCTCTTTAACAAGAGGTGGTTAGCAAGAGAAAAGCGCAACAAATATATTTGATCATAGTTTTGTTTATTTTTGGTCCTTTTGAGACAGGGTCTCACTATGCAGTTCAGGCTGGCCTCGAGCTCTTGGCAGCCCTCCTGCCTCAGCCTCCCCAGACGCTGGGACTACAAGTGTGCCCCATTGTACCCAGCTTTATTTTTAGTTTTTTGCAGCAGGTTCTCACTGTGTCGTCCAGACTGGCTGCAAACTCGTGGCAGTCTTCCTGCCGCAGCTTCCTAAATGCTGGGATTACGGGTGCACACCACCACGCCCCGCCAGTAATGGTAGTGCTTCCACTGAGCGATGACTAAGTGGGTGGATTATTTTCAGATGAATTGGACACTTTGTCTCACCTATACATTTCAACTACAAAATTTGTCTCTGGGTACTTGTACTCATGAAAAACCAAAGTCAGACATCGTCCTGGCCAGCGGGGATTGCTGTGTTCTGTTCAATGAAGGCGAATGGAAGTAGTGTGTATTTCCAAGTCAGCTGTCCACAGAAATTCTGCCCAGACTGAGCCCAGTGCATGGCAACAAGCTGCTGTCCCGGTCTGTACACCCCGAGGACTCGGCGGGGGGTGCAGGCGGGGACAGTGGGAGACCGAGCGCGGGGTCTGAGGACTGAGCTGTGTGACACAGGACACCCTGCCCCCCCACCCCGGCAGGAGGTGAAGGGCAGGAGGGGAGCAGGCAGCCTCTCCCCCGGCCCCGCCTCTTCCGCTGCGCACCCGGCCCTGGGGTCCCGCGGCCCGTGGGCCGCACATACTCACACCTTGGCGGTGACCTTGGCGGCTGCTGCTGGCATTGTTAGCCGATGCTGCGTGGGGCTGTGCAGAAGCAGGGGAGGCGCACACCTGTAATTCCAGTGCTTTGGAGGATGGGGCAAGAGGACCGCAAGTTCAAGGCCAGCCTGGGCAACTTAGCGAGGCCCTGTCTCAAGATTTAAAAGAAAAGAAAATGAAAATCAAACAAAAGATGTGTGTGAGTCACTTAGTCCATCTGGGCGCTCGCTTTCATAGCTCACACGTGAGCGTGTTAGATGACGGGCGGCGTGACGCGGGCGCTGGGCCAGTGCTGGCGCGGGGTGCATTCTCTGCAGTTCGCCTGTCTGCCAGGCTTTAAAACGGTTAGCACGTGCGGAGCAGAGCGATCCATAGTACTGCAGAAAGAAAACCCGTCCTGCACGTCACCGTTCGTCCTGCGGTATCACTGGCATCTTCCACTCCTTGCCAGCTGGGGGTGCAGCTCCAAAACCCACGCTCGGCTGCTGTACGTGGGGCTCTGGGTCCCACCACCAGCGCCACGGAAAATACCAAATAAAAGCGGGTCAGAAGAAAGCCCTGCTGCGTACATGTGTGTCCTAGAACTTACTGCTGTCTTGGTTTTAGGCTCCCACTTTCCAGTTGGTGTCGTCCCTCCCAGAACAAAGTCACCAACGCCCGAGTCCTCAACAATAGCCTCGTACGTGACCTTGCGGAAAACCAAGAAGATGCTGGACCTCAGAACGGTACGTGTGCGGTGCGAATGCTGCGCTCTCCGCTGCTTCTCCCGCTGTCTTTCTGTTGGCGTGTGGTGGTTCGGTTCGTCTGTTGTGGTGCCAGGCACTGGCTCCAGGGCCTTTGCACTGAGCTCCCTCCCCAGCGCTTGTTTCTCTTGAGGTAGGGACTTGCCAGATTGTCCAGACTGGGCTCGATCCTCCACCTTGGTCTCTCAGTGCTGGGGTTACACTTGCTCATTTTTAATGTCTTTTCGAATTTTTTTTTGTATATTATTTTTTTAAAAATCTACTGAGCTTTTTTCAAAAATACTACATTTAGAGAATTAATACCTCGGAGAAGAGGCCTGATCTCAATGTTTTCAGGTCAGCTTTAATTCCAGGTCTTGGTCCATCATCGGTGGAAATCGTCTTTGTTGAGGGAGGAATATTGGGTATGAAACTCAGCCTTCGTAACAAACCACATGCCAGCCTTCCCTTTGTTTTTATTTGTAAGAGAGGGTCTTGCTACATTGACTGAGCTAGGCCCTGCTCTGTGTGTGTGTGTGTGTGTGTGTGTGTGTGAGAGAGAGAGAGAGAGAGAGAGAGAGAGAGAGGGAAAGAGGGAGGGAGGGAGAGGGAGGGAGGGGCTAAGGCTTAAACCCAAACTCGCATGCATCTGAGGCAGGCACTCTACCCCAAGCTGTTCCCAGCCCCCTTTTTGGCTTCCTGGGACAGCGTATCGCTACATAGTTTAGGTGGGCCTTGGACTCATTATGAAGCCCAGGCAGCCACCTTCCTGCCTCAGCCTCCCAGGTGCTGGGATCACAGGTGTGTGCCTACCCTACTGATTCTGGCTTTTAAATGACATTACATAACCTCCATAAACAATGCCAGCAGCAGTTCACTACAGGTCATTGCCACTTTTCATGTACGTGTCCCCCAAAGGCTGGGCACGCAGCCAGGGCACTGCAGGAAAGCTGCCCTGTGCCCTAACTTGCTGGACAAACAGACATGTTGTGTGTCCACCCAGAGTTTATGGATTCCCTAGCTCGCCAGCAGTGTGAGGTCTCTCAGGGGGAGGAGTGCGGGTGTGCTGGTCCTCTGGTTGCTGTCTGTTCTGACATTGACGACATGGTTCTCTGTGAGACTCATTGCACCAGCAGGCTTTTTTATGGATTAGGAGAGTGTTTTCTTGGGCAGTTAGTATGGTATGATAACAAATCAAGAGAAAAAAGACGAAAAACAGTGAACATTCAGATTAAGAGAAAATGTTAATATTCAGATCAAGAGAAGATGTTAATAGCATGGCATTAAGGCACAGGCCTGCAGTCCCAGCACTCTGGGAGGCTGAAGCAGGAGGGTCCCAAGTTCAAACCCAGCTGGGCAGTTTAGCAACTTAGCAAGACCCTGTCTCAAAATCTGTAAAGGGCTGGAGATAAAACTCAGTGTGGAGGCCCAGGATTCATCCCCAGTACATTAAAAAAAAGAAAAAATAGTGGCCAGGCATAGTCCCCCGTACTTGTAATCCCAGCCCTCTGGGAGGCTGAAGCAGGAGGATCACAAGTTCGAGCCCAGCCTGGACAACCTGAGGACTTAGCGAGACTGTGGGGGTGTAGCTCAGTGTGGAGGACTGGGTTCAGTGGCTTTCTCTTATTTTACATCTGTTAGGTACTGAAGAAAGACTTTCGCATAACCCAGATACTGGAGAGGAAAATACAGACGTCACAATAGTTACATAATTGTAATACAGGAGAGGCCTTGATCAGTGAAACTCACGGGCCCTTAGCAGAGAAGTTCCAGGGTGAAGGAGCCGCGTCCGTGCATCACTGTGTGTTTTCATTCATTCCTTTTTTATTTTTTTCATTCATTCACTTCTTTGGGGAGTTGTTTGCTTTGGTTTTGGCTGTGGTTTATGCTGCGAGGACAAACCCAGGGCCTCCCACGTGCCAGGCAAGAGCTACCCGCTCAGCCCTTATAGATCATTGCTGTGTGTGTGACACTGTTGATGGGAGCCAAGCGCACTCTGCCATTGAGCCACGTCACCAGCCCCTTCTCGCTGGTGACCAAGTCTTGCTAAGGTGCCCAGGTGGCCTTGAACTTGCGCTTCCTCCACGTCAGCTTCCCGAGCAGCTGGGATGACCCGTGTGTGCTGCCACACCCGGCCAGTCCTTTTTATGGACAATGTTAAAATAAAATGTAGTACAGTAATAACATGAAAATAATACGGAACGTAAATACATGAACTTGCTCAGACCAGCAGTAATTTTTAAGATGCCGGGTACAACTCCAGTAAGACGCTTGTTCTCTCCGTAGTGTGAGTGAAGTTGTGCGCAGCGGGACGGCACGGAGATGGAGGTCACAATGTGACGACATTTTCGCACATGCACAGAAAAGTTTAGAACAAAAAATCTTGTGTGTTAGGGCTGGTGGTTTAGCTCAGCGTCAAAAGCGCAAGGTCGTGAGTTCAATTCCTGATACCAGAAGAAAAGACAAAAAAAAAATTTTGTGTGCAGAGCTCACATTTATCTATTGCTGCCAAAACTAATGGGAAAGCAGGGGATATAGCTCAGTGGAATAGCACACGGCCTAGAGTGCAGGAGGGCACAGAACCCATAAAATGGAAAAGTAAAAAAGGTAGGAAAGTGCGAAAGTAGTCACCTTCCTAATCAGTATCTAGAATTTTTTTTTAAATTTGTGTTTTCTGATTGTAGGGGTGTATGTGTGTGGTGTGTATGTTTGAGAGAGAGAGAAAGAAGGCGCTGGGGATTCAGCTTAACGGCACAGCGCCTGCCTGGCAAGTGCAAGGTCATGAGTTCGATTCCCGGTACCGGAAAAAAAAGAGAGAGAGACGAGAGAGAATATATCTTGCTGTGTTGTCCAGGTCTCCTGGATTCAAGTGATCCTCCTGCCTCAGTCTTCTGAGTAGCTATTAAAACTACAGCACAGCCACCACACCTTGTTTTTATTTTTGTAAAAGGCGATTGTAAATAAGTGAGAATCATCTATTCTGCATATAAAGATTTTTCACTTTACTTTCTATTTGCGAAATTTGGTTTGGTGTGGGTTGGTTTTTGGTTTTTTGAGACAGGGTCTCACAATGTAACCCCAGCTGGCCTTGAACTCAGTATGTAGGCCAGGCTGGCCTCTAACTTATGGCAGTCTTCCTGCCTCAGCCTCCTGAGTTCTTGGATTACAGATACAGCTTCTCTTTATAATGCATTATTCTACATAGTAACAATATTCTCAAGTCTGTAGCTCCTGCTGCACAGATGCATTATCGATTTTGGTAGAGAGAAGAGGATCTTAGCAGTGAATCAGGTTGACTGCTTGGTCACAGAGACACTGGGATTCTTTCAGAACGTCCAGTCATCCCTGTGTCGTGTCTGGTTCCCAACCAGGAAACCAAAGACGTCGCATCTGGGGGACAAGCACCGCTGCTGGGCTGTCTGAGCAGCCCTCTGGGGTTGTAAACTCAGCCCCCCAAAAATTAAAGGGGCAAAGTTTAGTGAAAGGAGGACACTGTCTTTGTAAAGAAGGAAAGGAAGTGAGGGGGCAGACAGCTACCCTGATGAGAGATACCAGGGTAGGGGCCTCCAGAAAGATGGAGGACCTGTGGGCCTTTTGGTTTTGGCTGCTTTTATAGGGGTCAAGTCCCCCCCCCTGCCCCAGCCGGAACTTGCCATAACCTCACTGGCTCCTGGCACCTCTGCCTCTGCCGTCCTTCCTGTGGTCTACCAGCTTTCTACTTGTGTACTAGTCCCTGCCAGACCTCTCTCATCCTCGGGGTGGGCGGCAGGTTAGTTAGGGTTATAAAACGGTGTGTGGGTGCCGGTTGTACTCTCTGACTGTACGATGCATATAGGGCCCAAGTGGATACCTATGTACAGGGTGTATATACACGTGTTTTCATGCGCAGGTGTGAACACACAGTTTGCGTGAGAGCTGCCCCCAGAGTTAGTCAGCACCCCCTTAGTCTCCCCTGTATTGCACGGGGGGTAGAGAGGGGCGGCTGTCTCAGCTTGGCTGTGTGTCCTGCCTGTCAGCTGTTTCCCTCTCTGGTCTCTCTGTCCTTGGATTACTTCCCAGGGGAATCTCTAGTAAGGTTTGTTTTCAGGATTGTTGTCAGGATTAGCTAGAACGGCCGGGGATATAGCTCAGTGGCACAAGTGCCTGCCTGGCAAGCACAAGGTCCTGAGTTCGATTCCTGGTACGCCTCCCCCCCAAAAAAAAAAAAAAAAAGGATTAGCTAGAAGACCTAATGAGGCCCCTGTACAGGTTTTTTCCCTGTTTACAAACCCCTGCCCCTACTGCTATTATTCTTGGTCAGCTCCTGCCAGTTCAAACCAGAGAACAAAAGAGACCTGTACATTGGATTCTACAGAATATTTACTTTAAAATTTTTAAACTCTTCCGTTTTTATAAAGTGGGGCTAGGTATGGTGGCGCTCACCTGTAATCCCAACACACTGAGAGGCTAGAGCTGACCAGTGCAAGCCCAGCCTGGACAAATGGGTGAGTTAGTGAGACCTTGCCTCAAAATAAAAATAAAAAGGGTGAGTCCATAGTTCAGTGCAAAGCAAAAAGGAAATGGGGGTGGGGTACTGTGTTCTACCCCTCGATCTGAAAAGAAAAAAAGAATAAAAATATGGAATATATTAGAAGAAAAGCATAAAAATTAGCGATACATAAAAGATCAAATATGATACCCAGACTTATAGAAAACAATATGTGATAGCTATTACCATTGGCCATGAAATAGGTGGTGTTTCTCTTATTTCACAGCAAATGCGTCACTGCAAACACATTTTCATTAGATTGAAAAACCCTGATCCATAAACACTCTGCCTCTCCCCTTTTTCTCGTAGCTAGTTTGACTTCCGTGCATTTTCCTGTTTCAGGGACAGCGAGCATCCATGGCCCGTTTGTGGTGGGTCTTTTGCTTTTGTTGTTAAACCAGGAAAACGCCCTCTCCTTCCGGCCCCGCGAGTCCTCCTCCTATCTGTCTTTCTGTCCCTGCCCACGCCTCGCCCTTTACAGTGGAGGAGAGAATGACCGCGTGGCAGGCCCTCCGCTGTGGGTTCCGAAGCAGACCCGGCCGCCCCGGCCCCGTCCCCGTCCCCGTCCCCAGGCTCACGTGCTCCTCTCTTCCAGGAGCGGCCGCGGAGCGCGGTGGAGCAGCTGTGCCTGGCGGAGAGCGGCCGGCCGCGGATGCCGGTGGAGGAGCAGCTGGAGCGCATCCGGCGCCACCAGCAGGCCTGCCTGCGGGAGAGGAAGCGGGCGCTCGCAGTCCCCATCGCCATCGCCGGGGCCACCGACCCGGGCTCCGCGCAGAGCCCTTCGAGCGCCAGGGAGACCCCAGGCAGGGCCCCGCAGGTGCGCCCGCTGCTTCTGGTTGTCCTGTGTACAGTGTGGCGTCGCTGGGATTTCGCATGCTTGGTTACGGGACAGATGGGTTTCAGCAGCCTGCAGTATAGTTCTTTTGGATTCTTTACTTCTTACAGTAGTAATAGGCCACAGCAGCATAGTAAAATGACAGTGACTCTGGCCTTCAGAGACCAGAGCCAGCCAGGCGTGGGGGCGCACACCTGACATCCCAGTGCTTGGGAGGCTGAGGCAGGTGCATCACAAGTTCAAGGCCAGCCTGGGCTACGCAAGGACGAGGTGGGGGAGGGGCAGGGCCAGCCTCAGGAGTGGGTCTTGTACAGCACCAGTTGTGGGCTTAGTCTTCTCTGCTGAGAGCTGATGGTACCACGTGACTGCCTGCTACGGAGACATAAGAAGATAAGAGCATTTCAACTAGTGTGAGATGCCGAGCAGGTCACCAAAACAGCCCCCACTTCCCTTCCAGTAAAATGCCTACTGCTGTCACAGCTTCAGCCTTGTGAGAGGCCCCTCGCCTTTCCTGTCCCTCGCTGCCCCTCTTCCTGCGTGGGGCAAAGACAGCAGCCAGGGAGCCCTTGCAGCCGCTGCCCTCAGGTCCGGCCCTGTCCGGCCCTGTCCCTCTCCCACCCGACCCAGAGCCTCCCGGCCCCAGAGCGCCCCGTCCTGCCGCACAGGCCTCGCCGGTGGGGACTGCTGTGAGCGGGCTGATGGCGCGCTCCGCAGATAGAATGTGGCTTCTGTGGGAAAGAGGAAGGAGAAAACAGGGCTTGTTTGCTGCGTTGGTTTTTGTAGAGCGTTTCCTGTGTGTGGAGGTACACTTTGCCCAAACCTGCAGGCACTGCCAATAAAATACGCAGGCATGCCAACCAGGAGTCTAAAAACATCGTGTCTTTTGGACAGAGCCAGAGGGACGGCGTGAAGGAGCTGGACACTGTGGGTAGAGAAAATGACATAAAAGCAAGCTACGACGTTCCTGTTGTGGACACCGTCCAACTAAAAGAAGCTGAGCCCCAAAATACGGATCATAGCCAAGAGGTAAAGAGGTCTGAAAGCTAAAGCATGAGCCTTTAAGCTATAAGGCCAGAGATCTAAATGAAGTGCTGGGTTTCCTTTCATCTTATTGATACATTGGCTGCATAAAGTATACATTAGTGAAAACTTTGGAGCATAATCAAAGCTAGAGTCAATTACTGTTAACCCAGTTAAAGAATAATCCCAAGTGGGGCATTGTGCTATTCACCTATAGTCTCAGCTGGTCAGGAAGCTGAAGCAGGAGGAGGGTTGCAAGTTCAAGGCTAATCCAGGCAACTTAGCAAGACCCTGCCTCAAACTAAAAAGGATCGGAAGATAGTTCAGCATTCCCTCCACTTAGTCCCCAGGATCAGGGAAAAACAAAGAAAAAGAGCATTGTATCCCAACAGCTGGGTGTTAACAAGGCAAATTATCTCTTCGAACAAATAACTTTTTTTTTATGTCCTTAAATTTAAAATGTTAATATTTTTAACATACTTGAGTCTAGACTTACTATCAGTAAATGTTTGAAATAGTATATAAATTTGGGGGAGATCATACTATAAGAAGTTGCTTTGGAATCATTTTAGATTTATTAATATATGTCATAAAAGTGGTTTGAAAAGGAAATTTGTCTCCTTCCTCTCTAGTGTAAAAGAACCGAAAGTGTATTTAGTGAAACGGTGTCCACACCTGAGCCAAATGGAGTGAGTTCTGAGGAGGTGGTGGATGAAGACAGTAACAAAGGGAAGATACCCAGGGATGTAGCACACAGGTAACAAGGAAAGAACTGTGTTAGCCCTTCGTCACTAGCACCACATACCCGAGTGAAGCAAGCTTACAGGAAGAGAGAATTCTTTTGGCTCGCGGCTTCTGAGGGGTTGGTCCGTGGTGTCTCAGCGCCGCTGTGTCTGGGGATGTGGGATGTGGCCCCAAGGCTCCTCTCCCCGGTAATGCTGTACAGCTGTGATCTCACTGAGGTTAGAGCCCTCGGAATCCCATCGTGTCTGGACACTGCTGCCTTAGGGACCAAGCCTTTGACACAGGGAAAGAAATCATTCATAAAACTGGAGAACTGCTTAAAAATGATGAACTTCCAGGCTGGGTGTGGTGGCACATGCCTGTAATCCCATCACTTGGGAGGCTGAGGCAGGAGGATCACCAAAAGTTCAAGCCAGTGGGGCTACATAATGAGTTGAAGGCCAGCTTGAACTCCAGAGCAAGACCCCGTCTCAAGAAACCAAACAACAACAAAAAAAAATGAAATTCAGTCAATAAGTATCAGATTCCAATTCCAGCGCAGGAGCTGCAGGCTCTCAAGCCAGGTGTACAACCTTCCTAAACTATAGGTTCCACTTGTAAGAATGAGAATAATCTAGCCAGGGATATAGCTCAGCAGCAAAAGCATCTGCCTGGCAAGCGCAAGGTCCTGAGTTGGATTCCCAGTAAAAAAAAAAAAAAAAAAAGAATAATCATACTCTTATTTCATCAGTCTGTTGTAAGGATTAAGTAAATACATTTACAACACTTAAAATGTGCTTAGCACTTAGGATAATACCTCATTAAAATAATGCTAAAAGCCAAGCGTGGTGGCATATGTCCATAATCCAGGAGGCTAAAGCAGGAGAACCACAAGTTTGAGGCAAGTTTGGGCTACATAACACATTCAAGACTGGTCTAGGGCTGGGAATTTAGCTCAGCAGCACAGCACCTGCCTGGCAAGCGTGAGGTCATGAGTTTGATTCCTGGTACTGGAAAAAAACAAAAACAAAGAAACAAAGATTTGTGCATGAATTTTGGGGCTGGGGATTTAGCTCAGCAGCACAGCACCTGCCTGGCAAGCACAAGGTCGTGAGTTTGATTCCCGGTACCGGAAAAAAGCCAAAAAAAAAAGACTGGTCTAACCTATGTAGCAAGACCCTCATAAACAAGTAAATACTCCATGCGTGCCAGAATGTCCTTAAGCTGTAGCAGAGTAAGGAACTCAGCACTCAGCATCACCTATATGGGTGAGCAGCTAGAACAGAAACTAATCAGAAGTCTAGGTTCTCTGATGAGCGTTCCAGAAGTTATGGTGATCTGCTGTTTTTTTCTTTTTTGTCTTTTTGAGACAGGGTCTTGCCATGCAGTTCAGGGTGGTCTTGAGCTCACTTTGTAGCCAAGGCTGGTGTCAAACTCACAATGATCCTCCTGCCTCAGCCTCCCAAGTGCTGGAAATACAGGCGTGCACCACCACAGCTGGCTGCTTTTATTTTTTACATGTATTTCTTCGTGTGTGTACGCTGCAGATTGATCCCGGGGCTTCAGGCATGCTAGGCAGGTACTGTCTAACTGCACTGCATTGCCAGCTGGGGCTATATTTCTTAAGAACATACCCTCAGTCTCACCCCTGGAAAAAATTACTAGAGCTAGAAAAAGACGTGCTGGCCAGGCGTGGAGATGCACACATATAATCCTAGCACCCGAGAGGTTGAGGCAAGAGGATTGCCTCAAGTTCAAGGCCAGTTTAAACTACATAATGAGATCCTGTGTGGTGAAAACAAAATGTGCTGTGATTTAATGTTACTGAGAATGTCTTTTATTTCGTCAGTGAATAGCAAGTTTGAATTTGAAAAGTATTTGGCTGTGTCTGACTTAAAGAATGTAGACTGAATTTTTGTATTAATATGCAGTAGACACAGATTGCAAGGTAACCAGCACACTAAACGTCCATAGGCTTGCTGGGTAAAGTGGGCGGCTCACGCCTGTAATCCCAGTGCTCTGGGAGGCTGAGGCTGAGGCTGAGGCTGCAGATCACAAATTCAGGCCAAGCAAGGGCAACTCAGTGACTTAGCCAGAGCCTGTCTCAAATTTTTTAAAAAAGGGCTGAAGAGGTCGCTCAGTGCACAGGCTCTGAATTCAATCCCCAGTACAAAAAAGAAATTTTTTTTTAAATGAATTTAAAATGTTTCAGTGGCTCATGCCTGTAATCCTAGCACCGGGGAAGCTGAGGCAGGAGGATCGCTGTGAGTTCAAGGACAGCCTCAGCTACAAAGTGAGTTTAAGGCCAGCCTGAAGTGCATAGTGAAACCCTATCTCAAAAAGACAAAAATAAAATAAAATGTTTCAACAACAAGAAAAACACAAGTTGACCATGTTGAAGTATGCTAAAGAGTCAACTCTTAATCCCAAAAGTAGGTACATAAAGCAAAAGAATCAATTATCTATCTTGCTCTTCCCAAAAAAGCTGTAACAGAACAGTTTGAGGAATGCCTTTTCTTTCCAGAAGATTTCTGATCAGTAAGGTGTGAGGGTCGTGCAAGTGGTTGTTTCACTGACACTCAGGAAATAATGGATTCAGGACTAGGACTGAAGCTCTCTGCTGAAACACTTCCCTCGCACACATGATGTGCTGGGTTCGGTTCCCAGCACCACAAAGTGAACCTGGGCGTGGCGGCACACGCCTGTAATCCCAGCACTCAAGAGGCTGAGGCAGGAAGGGTGTTGCAAGTTCGAGACCAGCCTGGGCTACAAAGTGAGCTCAAGGCCAGCCTGGAAAAAAAAAAAACAGCCTGAACTGCACAGCAAGACCCTGACTCAAAAAGACAAAAAAATAATAATAATGGATGTGCACAATACTCAGTGGCTGCTAATGCAGTTAGCTGGAAATCTTACAGGGAGCCAGATGATCAGCAAATGGAGCTGCCCACCGAGCCGCTGATCCCTTTTTACCGCTCTGTGTCTGCAGCTCGAAATCACTGCACTTGCTGTGGGCGTCACTGCATGGACAGCTCACCGCGGCATCCTCTTTACTTCCCCCTCTTACATCTTTTTCTCTCCACAAAGCCTTCTTTCCTCTGGCTCCTGTCATCTTTGCTTTTGCTCCTGAAATTATTTATATTTGGGGTTTCTCATAGAAGAGAAACCAATTTGTGCCATCACAAAGAGAAACAATCCATTAATGAGACAGTGACTGAGACCCAGCTAGTGAAGTATCACTGGGTACCCACCAAACCTGAATGTGATCAAGCCTCACAGTCTTGGCTGGGCGAAGTACCCCACACCTGTAATCCCAGCACTTGAGAGGCTGAGGCAGGAGGATCACTGCAAGTTCAAGGCCATCCTGGACTACACAACGAAACCCTGTCTCAAAAGGAAAAAAAAAGTCACAGTGTGGAAAACTATATAGGATAAACAAGGCTCTTTTACAGATGAATACCAAAGAATAAAAAGGATACAGCTTATTTTAAAATAGACCTTAAGGGGCTGGGGATATAGCTCAGTGGTGCAGTGCCTGCCTGAAAAGTGTGAAGTCCTGAGTTCGATTCCTGGTACCAAAAAAAATAAAGTAGACTTTAAGAGACTTGTCACAGCCAGGTATGGGAGTATGCACCTGTAACCGCAGCACTTGGGAGACTAAGGCAGAAGTATCGTTGCAGCTTAGGCTACACAGCAAGACGAAAAGAGAGAAAGAAAGAGAGGCTTGTCAGACAACACAGTGAATGTAGACCAAGCTAGCCTTGAACTCCTGGCAATCCTCCTGCATCAGCCTCAAGTGCTGGGATTACAGGCGTGCGCCGCCATGCCCGGCTTGATGGTTTTTCAATAGCATTGTGCAACACTCAGGAAAATTTAGCCAGTGATTGGGTATTTGAGGGCATAAGAATTAAAACAACATACTGAAACATTTATATATTAAATATCATATATAGGAGAGAAAGGTAATTAAAAGAATTAAGGTTATTATATAAATGGACCAACTTCCCATAATGAGTGTAACATTAGGTACTAATAAGGAATGATATGTACTAAGAAAAAAAAATTTTTTTTTTTTTTAAATAAAATACCCCCATCATGTCTGACTGGGCATGGTGGTGCACACCTGTAATCCAAGCCCTGAGGCAGGAGGGTCTCAAGCTCAAACCCAGCCTCGACTATATAGTGAGAGCTTGTCTCAAACAAAAAACAAAAACTCAAGTCTGAACCTCCTTTAAATTAGTTTGGGCAAGGGCTGGAGCTGGAGCTCCATGGTAGGGCAGCTGCCTAACGGTGGTGAGGCCCTGGGTTCAGTCACGGGGTGGGAGCTGATGGGGTTTAGAGGAAACAGGATCGGCAGAGTTGTGGGCACCCTGGAAGCAAGGCTGCAGGCTTCGGGTGTCATCACCTCTGAGCTTCCTGTGTTTGGGATTTCCTTAAGAGTGAGAAGGAAGGAAGCCAGGCATGGTGGTGCACACCTGTAATTCCAGCCCTCTGGAGGCTGAGGCAGGATCATTGTGAGTTTGAGGCCAGCCTGGGCTACAAAGTGAGTTCAAGGCCACCCTGAACGGCAAAACAAGACCCTGTCTCAACAAACAAACAAAAAAAAAGAATGAGAAGGAAGGAAAGAGGGACCCCAAGCAGATTGTTAGCCATGGGTAAATGCAGGTGGGCAGTGCCATCTTTTCTGTATGGTTACAAGTTTAGTTAAAAGGCTGGACGGAGGGATGGACTGTATTCTGTAGTGAGTGTTAAAGTAGCCATGTGCTCTCATTAGCCCCGAAGGTGAGACGCAGATCCCCAACCATAAACCGGAAGGCCATTGTGAGGAGGACACCAAGGACAGCGTTCAGCAGGAGGAGGAAACTGTCACTTCCCAGGAGTCGACGCCCGTGATTTCCAGAGAAAACCAAACACCTGCGGGTAGGTGCGGCGTGGTGCAGGTTCTTGCCGGGCAAGGCCTCCGAGCTTTTTTCTTTCCCCTCAACGTCTGAACTCATTCTTCCTATGGCAGTTCTAGAAAGGGAGCCACTTAATGGCCTTCTCTGCAGATGAATTCACAGGGGTGGCCGGGGGACTGGACTAAGACGGGAAGGGCTCTGCTGCCACATCTGCTCCTTTTTTTTTTTTTTTGTCTTTTTGAGACAGGGTCTCGCTACGCAGTTCAGGCTGGGCTTGAGCTCACTTTGTAGCCCAGGCTGGCTTCGAACTTGCAACGATCCTCCTGCTTCAGCCTCCCGAGTGCTGGAATTACAGGCGTGGGCCACCACACCCGGCTCACGTCTGCTCTCATACGATGCTGCAAGCTGTTATGGTGGCCCACACCTGTGAGCCCAGCACACTGGGAGGCTGAGGCAGGAGGATCACAACCTCAAGCCCAGCCTGGGCTACTAAGGGCCTCCTGAGACCCTGTCTCAAAATTGCAAAGGTGCTGGGTTCAATCCCCAGTATCACAACACAATGCATTCGTAGAATGGGTATGTTTACTCTAGCACTTGCAGTAGTCTGCACCGGAATTGTTCTCTGATAGGAGATCACCATCCTTGCCATGGTAAAACAAGTGTTCCGTGCTGCCGCCCCTGTGGGAGCAGGGTGCTGGGGATAGAACCCGTGGCCTTGTGCATGCTAGGCAAGCGCTGTACCCATGAGCCGCAGGCCCAGCCCTGCTGTTGGCGTTTGGCTCATCACAGGCGCGTTTTCTTTCCCTCTGTGACTTTGGAGAGCGGGAGTGTGGGGCAGGGTCACACCACCGTGCAGACCTCGATCGAGCCTCACTCTTGTTCATACACAGAAGTTCATTCCCGGCCACCTTCGCCCGCTCCCTCCCTTTGGCAGAAGGTTAGAGCCGGGAGATTCGGTCCTGCTTGGAAGAGCCGGGTTAGGGCAGAGCCGCCCCCATCTCCCGCACGCAGCTGAGGCCTGTGTGTCCCCTGTGCCTCCCGGGACCGGCACCGGCACTTTGCCGCAGCACCTGTGTGGCGGCGTGCAGAGGCGATGGCGCTGTCCGCAGCCGCTTGGCACCAGTGTCTTGCTCGCAGGGCTGCGCGGGCGTGGCGTGTGACCCTGCCCTGCACTCCCGCTCTCCAAAGCACAGAGAGAGAACGCGTCTGTGATGAGCCAAAAGCCGACAGCAGGGCTGGGCCTGCAGCTCACGGGTACTGAGTGTGTGACGTGCGCATCTCTGTCCTTAGTGCGTGAGCTAGAAAAGACCCGTCAGCCAGGCTCTGAGAACAGCATAAGCCGCAGACACCTCAGGGCCAACCTCACAGGAGAAACGCGCCGCAGGCAGGCGTAGAAGTCCCTGCTGAGCACCTCAGGTCAGGACAGCCCCTGCGCAGGCAGCAGCTCCCGCCCCTTCCCGCGTGTCCGCGAGACGCTGACCTCCCGCTCTTGCTGTGTTGCAGTGAGAAGTCTGCCCCCGTCTCCCGAGTCCTCGGCGTCGCCGGTGCCATCTGCCCAGCCGCAGCTGACGGAAGGCTCGCACTTCATGTGTGTGTAGCTCCGAAGTACGTCGTCTCCTCTGCTTCTCGTTTGCTACTTGAGTGGCGCCCACCCCTTGGCACCAGGTCCCTGGGGACTGTACCCCAAGGACAGTTGGCAGAAGCAGTGGGCTTCGAGTTTGAACGCGACAGTGACCCGGATTGCACCTGGCCCACACGGGCCCTTCGGTGGCCTGCTGCATGACAGCCTTCCTCTGTCTTACTTCATTGTGGATTAAAGCGCCCAAGGGTGTAGGGGTGCCCTCCCTGCTCCTTCCAGGGCCTGGAGCCCAGGGCTCGCCGCCTGCGCACCAAGGTTTCAGCCAGTTGGGAGAGAGACTTGCATGTTACTGATTTTACAGGACAGAGAATGTGATACAGCCAACTGGGTGAAGTGTTAAAGTTCTGGGGGTTTTTTTGGTGGGGGGAGGTTTTTGAGACAGCGTCTCGCTATGCAGTTCAGGCTGGCCTTTAGCTCACTTTGTAGCCCAGGCTGGTCTCGAACTTGCAGCGATCCACCTGCCTCAGCCTCCTGAGTGCTGGGATTACAGGTGTGCACCACCACGCCGGCAGAAGTAATTAATCTTAAATCAGGGTGGCCGTGCGGACAGGGAGGAGGGGCCCTTCCCGCAGGGATCTTTAGTCTCCGCTTCTAGGCGGGAGGGTATACTCTCACTTCTCACTCTCAGAGCTCACAGGCAGCCGCCGGGTCCCTCAGCGGTAGCTGTCTGCTGTCCAAGAGCCCTGGGTTCAATCCCCAGTTCCGCTAAAAAAAAAAAAAATTACAAGCAGTTGCTTCTTTTTCCCTATATTTTCATACTCGCCAGCACTTTTTTTTCCTTTGCAGAATAACTGTGAGATAGAAAACATAATTTGTATGACTTCCCTGCATTTGTTCTCACAGTGCCTGTGAGGGCCTGGCACGCCCCGGGCCTTGGGCCTGTCCTGCCCCCACCTCAGAGAAACAAGCATACACACGGAAACATTCTGAGCACCGTTACCACACCGCCTTTGAATTCTAGGTCCTCAAAACAAACAAGTACAAACACCAACTTGGCGGGATTTACCCAGCAGTGTTTATTTTCTGGGATCAACTTCATTTACCCCTTTTTGTAGCTGCTGTGGTTTCATCCTTCTTCCCAACCAGGAGGAGTAACTGTCTGTAGCTCTGATTTGGCATCAGGTCTGCCCAGGGCCTGGCGCAGGCTGTGTTCTGTCCGCGGTCTCCGCGGGTTCAGGCCTCGGGTCCCGGCGCCCGGCCTCCCTGTGTATCTGTTTCCCCTCTCACATAAACTGCCTGTGCTGCTCGTGCAGGACACCGGGCCCAGGGCGGAAACGCTGTGCCCATCCGACTTCTCCCGCACAGCTGGTAGTCGGCCTCTGCCCGCCTGGGAGGGAGAAGGCGTACACGCAGAGCCATTCCCTTTTTTTTTGATTCAGTAAATAAATGGCAATTCAGTGTACACAGCCCTTTCTGGTAACAAAGGCTGTGCAGGGTTAAAACTGCAATGCATTCCCAGATTCCTTAAGTAGTTAGTGGGTTTTATTTTGTTTTTTCTTTTCTTTTTTGAGGGGACACCAGGAATTAAACTCAGGACCTTGCACTTGCCTGGTAGGCGCTGTGCCACTGAGCTATATCCCTGCCCCCGACTTTTGTGTGTGGATTTTTTGCTTTTATTTCAAGAACCGGTGGTATTACGTATTATACTGGCACAGTTGGCACAGTTACTGCCAGATATTTTCTAGTGTCACATCATGCAGCCACCATAGACAAGAAAACTCGTATTACCTTTTTTTTTTTTTTTTTTTTTTTATTTTCTCCGGTACCGGGAACCGAACTCACGACCTTGCGCTTGCCAGGCAGGCGCTTTTGCCGCTGAGCTAAATCCCCAGCCCCTCGTATTACCTTCTAACTGCCCGCTGTGCCTTTTTTTTTTTTTTGGCATGCTGGGATGGAACCCAGGGCCCCACACCCGCTGCATGAGGCTGTACCCGTGAGCAGCGCCCAGCTGTGTGCATTACAGTTACCCTTCTGAACTAGCAGTTCTGGCAGGACTTAGGAAAGCTTTATGAATGGACTGCATTAGAGGCAGCTTTCGTGAAGGTATGCAGATCTTTGCTTATTGCATTGATCTTTGGATTTAGCAACACATTTGGGTACATTTTTTGTTCTGAATTGCCCTTTAATTGCATTATGTTTCTTTGTGAATTATACTCATGGAAGTGAAGAACAGTCCTTTCGTTGTATTGTTTTGGGAATTTTGTGGCCACACTCGTCTTTTCTATGGTTGGGTCTCTGTCAGTTACTCCGGGACGCGGGCCTTTCTTGGCTTTGCAGGTGTCAAGAGTAATTTTTTTGTTTTACTTTCCAGCTACGCTGACTTCTGTTGAAACCGCTCACAGACCTTCAGCAGTGTAAGAAGATATTGTACAGTATATTTTAAATCTATGAAATTCATAGTTCTGATGCTTTTGATCCCAGAGCATCGTTTTATCACTTCTGGAAAATGTTCATTCCAGAGCAGCTTTCAGGCCACACGCACACTCCGCCCCGGTCGCCGTCCCCCGCCAGCTTGCCGCGCTCCCGAGCCCGTAGGTAACGGTGCTGTTCTCGTGCAGGCTCCGCCGGAGCTCTCTCAGTTGCTGATCTCCAGATTCGATGTTTCTGAAGTCTAGGTGAATTTATATTTCCTTTTGCTTTTTGGTACATAAAGTTAGTTATTATTTCCAATGAAGTTTGTTTTTCCCTTTTTTTTTTTCCTGTCCCATTTTGGCTACTGCAGTGCTTTATTTCACTCTTGATTTGTAAAAATTTTATATATATATATATTTAAAATGTGCCATTTTCTTACTGCCAGGTGAAGTACGTCCCTTTTTCTGCGCTAATTCTTTCCCAGATTGCAGTGTCAGCAGTTACTGCCGCTCGTCAGCTTGCACACAAATGTCATCACTTCCCTTTCCCTGAAAAGCAGTTACCAGTGTAGGTATCTTGGAGTACTGGACTTACACTTCATTGGAATAGAGTGTACAGCAATAAGCAGGTCTTCAAACCCTCCGGTACTTAGTGTGTGTACAAATGTAATTATGTTCATTGTGTATATACTATACAATGAGCACATGTAATGTATTAAAGGCTACTTCCTATTGTTTAAATGCAAATGTTCATATCTCATTTCTTTTTTATCATGTTAAATAAATGTTGATGTTCTTAGATCACTTGTGTTCGAGTTCTTCCCGTCTGAAATGGAAACTGTCATTCAGTGGCAGAGCGCTTGCCTGGCATACGCAAGGTCCTGGGTGCAGTGCCCAGCGTCAGAGAAAGAAAGAAAAGAGAAAAAGACTCAGGAGACTTCTGAAGAAAAAGTAGTCTGTTAATCCTAGAATCCTAGACAGCACCATAAAAGGACTTGTCTGTCTGACCCTCCCATGTCACAGCGGGAGAGCTGGGGGCCCAGAATAGACTGGCTTGCCGGCCTAATCCCATTACCTGTAACGGGTGCCGGGTGCCGATGCTGGGCCCGCGGCTCAATTTAGTGTTGTGCGGTCTTCTGCGTTCGCATTGTGTGCGCACACTCAGGCCCACGGTGACGGACTGGATGGGAGGGTGCTGGGCGGGCAGGGCCGGGCGGACGGAGCTGGGAGCCCTCCGGCCAGAGCGCGTCTCTCTCAGCACATTCTTTGCAGATGTTCACGCTCTTCAGAATCAATTACATTTTCTTTCCTCTGCAGCCTTTTGTCCGCGCTGTATATTGTTCCCAGGGCACAAGGAAATCCGATGCTTTCGGATTCCTGCATAGAGGGGCTCCGTCCACACTTGATCTTAGCCAGAAGGCCAAGAAGCGATGAGGGGCTCCGTCCAAACTGGCGCTGGCCGGGCCTTCCTTTTGCATGCTGTGCTGAAGGGGATTTAGCCTCACCCCACATGCAGATGGCTGTGAATTCACCTGCCCCGGGCAGGAGCGCGCACAGGAAGTGCCGCTGGACTCAGGCAGGGGACGGAAACGGTGCAGAGGCCGGGACTTGGCTGTGCGTCCCCGCGGAGCGTCTCCACGGCGCCTTCACAGGGCGGCCCTCCTCGGGGCACGGGGAGTCTCGCCTGTGCGCCCTGTGGCCGTGTGCCCTCGCTGCAGATCTTTGCGGGGTGTTACGGGGAAAATAGCTTACTTGGGTTTGGCCTGGGCTTTTCGTAGGGTTTTTGTTTTTATGTTCAAGGCCGTATGCGTGTGTGTGTCCGCGCGCGCGCGCACTATCTTATTTTGATATATTAAACAGCATCACATGTACTGCTGGGGATCAAATCCAGGCCTTCACACAGGCTGGGCAAGCATTCTGCCACTGAGCTGTGTCCCCATTCCCAACGGTTTTTAGCTTTTCCCAGAAGGAAAAAGTGTTCATGATGAGCTGGGC